TTGAAATAAAACTTGCAAAAAAAATTAACAAAATTAAAAAAAAGAAGTTTGCATTTTTTTCTATGTAGCAAAAGTGTTCAATTTTCTCTTAAAACTGGTTTTGCATATTTCTTTTTTTTCTAGGAGCTTAGAAACGTGTTTCACTCATTGAGACTATGGACTTGTATCCGATAGCATGGATTAACTCATGCCATCAGACGCAAATTTTTATTCTCAATGAGTGTATCACCTCTTCAGGCATCTAGGAAAAAAAGAGACATGCTTACAACGCTGGTTTTTAATGAACAGTTGAACAGCTTCCTAGATAGAAAAAAATGCAGCAATTCTTCTTTTTAATTTTCATTATTTATGGTAGATTTTATTTCAAAGAAATGATTTGAGAATTTTGTTAATAAACATTTTCTTGTAACGCATAATGAACTCTATTCCAGTATTTAAAAATAGGAGGAGAAAAATCTTCTGCTCAATTTTCGCATCACTTACACATTATATTAATAGAATAGGAATTAATGCTAAAGAAAAGAAGAAAGTTATTTTTGAAGAGGGAAACTAATGATCACATTTGTGACTTATAAACGTTGTAATGTAATATTTAAATAAGTAACTTCATTAATATAATTCTGAAATTCTTTCTTATTTTTCTAACAGCATTACAAATCAAAAACAAAAATAAAATTCAAATACATGCAATACATAAAACGACTGCGACGTTGTGACGAAATTTTTCTAATGTACGAGATTAGGAGGACACGGTGTCTCATTTCTACATTAAAAATTATACATTTAAGATGTAAATTCGAATATTTTCTCGTCTAGCATATATAATTAGTCGTATTTTAATAGAAACCATGAAAAATTATTGGTTCTAAGCACTTTCGTATTTTTCCATATTTTTGAATACGAATAATGTTCTCCGATTTGTTCAAATTTTTCAATATATTGTCGTGCATCATATATTGTTTTTTTTTCTTAGTATGTTTTCATACTGTGTCTATTGTTTTTTTTTCTCAATTTATTATGAACATCTATTTAACAAATAGACTATCTTTCGTTATGGATATTCGTCTCAGTCATATATATATCATAGAGCTTTCTTATTGTTATCGTGATGTATATTCATGCACTTGTCACTTGCCTGATTAATTATTCAGCGAGGGTTCCTTTGACATAATTTGTGCTGTTGCATAAACTAAACTCTCATTTCCATATAAACAACTTTGTTTATAAAACTGCAGCTGTATTACTATCATCGTATATCACATTAATATGATAAGCTCCCATTTATTTTATTTGATGATGCATTTTATATTTTGAAGTTAAATTAAACTGAGTGGTTTATTTATAAGACTAAGTTTAGTAAAAAATGAATGTGTCTATGTCAGTTCTTACAAAAATAGTTGAACAAACTTTTTCATTGAAAACATACGCGTATCAAAACATAGGTCTTTTACCGGATATTCTACATTTTTTTAGAATTTGTATTCCAATTACTATGCCCTAGTAAAAGAAAGTTTTTTCTTATTTGCAACTTCTCATGCTGTATTAGAACTTAGTGGCATCGTGAAACCTGTATAGAGTTACACTACTATGACTTTAAATAATAATCATTTATTTGCAAATTTTAATCAGTACATCAGCTTACAAGTTTGGCTTTTAAAAAAGAGTTATTATGAATTTCAGTTTAGAATCTCAATGTTCATCATTATCAAGCTACAAATATCATATCTGTAATAATTCAATAGTATTGCGTTCAAGAATTTTTACGCAAATTTTAAATTTATTTCTATTTACGTTTGATTGATACCTTGATTTTGCATACCATAAAAAAGTTTTTGTTTTTATATGGCATTCCAAATCATGATACTATATTGATGTGAAAATGCGTATGTCAAAATATACGATAGAAATAATTTTGTAGAAAAATATAACATCATATATAACTACACATGTAAATTTTATATAACAAAGAAATACTAGTGACAAAAAGATAGAAATATCATTGGAAATATCAATACATGAAGCAAAAAAATTAAATTCGCAATTATGAAATAGAGACATAGGTCTGCATAATTAGTTGGAAAAAGTTAATATTCTTATAACGAAAAAGACTTAAATAAATACCTATTTAAAAAACAACGTCACGCTACACTTGTTTATGAGAAAAACTTAATCATTATTAATAAAAAAAAAATCAAGAAAAACCATGAACATTCCATTACAATGGAAAGAAGTATAGAATAAAGCTTTTGCAACAAAGAAGGATGAGATTAAATATTGTTTTCTATAGAATATAAAAAAAAAATGAATCCTAATCTTCAAATTCCATAAATCCTAGAATAATTTTCTAGTACAACATATGGCTACATGCTTATTTAGTATATAAGGGATATGCGTAAATAAGCATTGCATACATATAATAAATACTTTTAATATATACTTGATAATATTAAAACTAAAACTTGTTGGATAATGTAGTGAACATGAACACACTTGATTAGTCGGCATAAAAATATTATAATGAGTTATATTTTCAGTTAGATAATAGTTAACTGAAACTATTAATTATATTTGCATAAGCATTTAATTATGACGTACTAAAATGGTATAAGTAACCATATAGTTTGTGCTTAAGTAGTGGTTAACATATGTGATTGATCTGTATAAAACTGTTACTAATTGACATTTTCTAATATTATATATGGAAATTAAACATCTTATGTAATTTTGTTGTTTAAATTTTATCCAGATAAAGTACCAGTTAATTTAAGGAGATATATTTTCTATCATATTTATAGAACGATTAAGTTAAAGGTGTATAAATTAAGAAAGTGTTGATGTTTATTACAAACTTCTAATAACTTTCATGACGTCAATGACTTTCAAAGTTGTTAAGGCCATATATTGTTACATATTTAATGATAGGTACATTTTCTAATTACTACTATGGAGCTCGTCACTCGATTATTTTTTGTTAATATCAAAGGCACTTATAACTTTATCGTTAGAAACCTTGATGAGAATGTTACGAAGACATATTGATTGTGAAAGTACCCAAACTATTTTGGTATAATTTTATTATTCTTTCAGCAAAAAAAAAACAGGATAGATGCACAAAAACATTAATAAGTCAACCATGAATATTTATTTTGATGAACAAATCGTTATAGTCGATATGTTTTTGTACGAGTTTCTCTTTCTGTCAGTTCTTATCTGAAAACAAGACCGTGAAGAGAGAACAAAAAAGTGAAAGAAACAAATGCCTTCCAGTTTGGTGAAATGTTGACAAATGATTTTTATGTCGTTTATTTCCATCGTCAAAGCGGATATTTGTAACAATAGTAGACGCCATTATTACTTGTTTTTCATTTAAGTATCAAATGAATCAATCTAGCTGTCATTATATTTAAATGTTGGAGTCGAAATAATCTCTGTTAGCATTCAGAAAAGATCATGAATAACAAAAATCAATTATTTCTAAAGGATTATTGACGTATATATTTTCTTCGTGAATTCCGCATTGATTGTTCATTACATGGAACGGAAGTTTGTTTTTTTTCGGCTAGATTATTCTACATTAGTTTAGAAAATTGTTGTATCACAGAAATTAGAAAAAGGACATCACGTTCTTTTCTTGAAGAGACACGTCAAATTTTATCAATGAAAATAGCATTCTTTAAGATTTACCAAACAGACATGTCAAATCTTCAAAAAATTAGTTGTGCAGAATCATTTTACAATGTCATATCATTTTGATTTTCATGGAAGGGAAATATTAATTGATCTTGTTTACTTAAGTTTACAATTGGAGACCTGTGAGCCTATTCAGAACTTGAGATCGACAGATTGAATTCGCTGCTGTATAACAAGAGGAACATAATACATTAGTGAAAAAGTTATCTGATCTGATTGAACATTTTCTTTTTTTATCGTAAACTATTAGGTAAAGACTAATATCTGATCATGGTTAACATAATCGATTGTCAACAAGCAAAAAAAACCAAGAAAACTTGAATTATTAAATAAACTGAAGAAAACTTGTGCAATATTCTTGAAATAGAATTTCATGTTTTGTTTGGTGACACTTGAAATCAAATTTCAATATAGTTTAATAACAGTTAATCAAAACAAAAATAAAATTCTCCATGCATTGAATTGAAAAACTTGACTAACATTTATTCAACAGTGTTAAATCTTAAAACGAACTCAAAAAAAAAATTGTTTAGTCAATGTTTGCTTCGTTCTTGTTAATCATATATAATCACTCACCTTAAAATCATCAATAACATAAGTAATAATTCCATTTTTTATTTCGCTTATTGCCAATACCAACTTGCTTTTTGAAAGGATATGTACATTAGCATTCGAATAGATAATGAAATTAAGAAAAAAATAATAAACTTGTCTTTTTTTAAATAGCACATGACATGTATTACTTAATAGTCAATTGATATTGATTTATGCACGTGAATCGATATTATATGAGTCACAGAATATGAAATCAACACCATCATCTATTTGTTCATATTTTCAATTATAATTTATAGATTATCACGTGTAAAAACTCTTTTTTGTTTTGGTTTGCTACATGATTGAAAATGTAATCAAATTTATATAATGCAAAAAACACTTTCTAATTGCTTCAAAACAAACAGAATATGATTCATAGATATGTATTCAAAGTTCATATCAATAATTGTATTTCTAATTATAAAATCATTTATGTTTGAAATTAAGATTCTTATTTTCTTTTTAAATAAATTATGAGACTCTCATAGTATGAATAAATTTCATTTGAAAATTTCATACGTTTGATTTGGTTGTTTTGATGTATACAAACAGTATGATTTTATAATCGAAATGGCGTCTCAGCAAGACATTATTTTTCAATTTTTTTGGTGACGAATGGTGTGTAATTCCATTTTAAATGAAAGGATAGTTTTTCGAAAAAGAAGGATGATGATGTCAACATACATGAAACATAAAACAAGAAAAAATTTCTAATGGCAAGAGCAAGTATAGGTTGGATTAACACTACACAAAAAGATAATGTTCAAGACTTTTTGACAAGCAATGTTCTTAAATCTCCAATACATGCAAAGAAGGTGATTTAGTTTGAATTTTATTATTTTAAATAAACATATTACTTTTTAATTATTAGGTTCAAAGATTACCACCTTTGAATATACAGTATGATACACCTCGTATATCAGATGATAAAAAATGGACTGATCAGTCATTAATTTCAACTCGAAGTGTCGATAATTATTTAGCTGAATCGGATGCATTTCAACGAGCTTCTTATGCAAATATAATCGACAAATGGAAAGAATATGATAAAAGTAAAACTGATCGACTTCTATCCACATTTGATGCTCATTATAATATGAAAATACGTTTTCGTCACGATGACAAAATAAATCGTTCATCAGAGATGAAATATGGATCAATTGCAACATATTATCGTTTTATGGGCAATGAAAATAGTCGAAAGAATAATAAGCCATGTGGACGACATAAACGTCTTATACAAGAATATGAAGAAAGACATGTACGTGATTTGTTACAATTGCCAACAACAACAATTAAAACACGTAGACCACCTCATTATTTATCGAAAATAACTGAACTTCCACCTGCTGAAACAACTATTCATAGTTCAACATCAGTTAGACCGTCCGTATCCGTTGCTGAGCAGTCACATCATACATTCGGTTAAGTTTTTTAAAAGTTTTTTGAATTTTTTTTTCTGAAGTTAACAAAGATTTTCGACGATTTTCACAACGTTGTATTGTAGATATAAATAAAATATTAATTGTGCGCAATTCATCTAATAATAATTTTCGACGTTTATGTAATGTTATTGCATAAGTACTTATTGAAATACATGTTTGAATTTGAATAATTAATGTTATTATTGATATCGATCGAATCCAAATAAGAAATAATCGATAACGATCATTAAATAATGAAGCAACTGTTTCTAAGATTTTTTCGATATTTTTTTCAAAAAATCTAGACAAACATGACATGGTCTAATTCAGTGATACAAAAAAAAAACAAAGATAAATAAAATCAAAATTTACTCATTTTTTTCCAAAATTTTAAGTACGCGCGTTATAATGAAACCTAGAAAAGAAAATCATTATCCATTGATTAATTTCTTTTAAATTTCGAATAATTTTATTTTTTATTTCTGTCATTATTCTAAAAGCAATAGTACCGATTTTTTCGAAATCGCTAAAAATCGATGATTCATTGCGATATTATATTGAAACAATAATCGTGAACAGAAACAGAAACACGATAAATCGTGGATTTTATGATCGATGATTATCCTTCATTTTATTCATAATAGACGTGATTTTTTGTTCATGTAACTTCGATTCTATTGATATATTGAGAAGTTCCTCGTATTAATTTATGATAGTGAATATTTTTATTTGAAGATTGGCTGCTTCCTATGTTCTACATGAATAAAATATATAATAAACATTTTTTTAAAATGGATGCGACATGCGATTCTACATAGTGAAATAATTCGTTTTTTTTGTTAGCAAATTAAATATATAAAACAGAGGACCAAGTAGAAATTGTTTTAAAGAAGAAAAACAAGTTTTTCATTTTGACATTAATCTAGCATTGAAGGACTCATCGAAAACTGAATCTAAAAGTTGAAAAATTATTTAATCTCAAGAATCAGCAATTTTCTATATTATGAAAAAAAACATCTTAGATGTATATGAATGTGACTGAAAAGTTCAGTAAGGTCGTTTTCTAAAACTGTTCAATCTCGTTAATTTCATAGTAGTGACATCCATGACAAAACTAAATTTTTCATTTGGTTTCAAATACCAATTATTATATTTTATAAAAATATGTAGACATTATATTTGACTCTCGATTTTACACAATTGGAACATTTCTCTAATTAGTTGACAATTCGCAATTAGCTACTGAAATCAGAGATTCAATTCGATTTATCGCTGATTCTCGAAACACTCTGTTTTGTGGCATAATCACGATCAAATCTAATTGAATCATGATTTTATGACATATATATTTAGTGTATTCAACGTGCTAGCAAAACAATTTTTTTGTGTTTGCCATGGTACGATTTAACTTGTCGAATTACGAAAAATATAGTATTTTTCACATACAGAAAAAACATCCTGAGGAAAAGTGCATTATTAATGACAGAACCACAAATGGACCAGGCTGGATCGTCATCCTACCACCAAGAAAAAGACCTAATAATTGCCATTATTCATACTATCTGGAATAATTTTTTTTGAGAAATCCTAGGGTAATGCCCTAATATCCAAGACAACATTATTTTCAAAGTAGAGAAAAATAGACCAGAAATTCTTACTTTCGTAAAGTTTCGTTTCCTATATCTTTAAAGATACTTTTTCTTGTGTAATTTGACGAGCTCTATTCAACTATGACAAAAACGAGAAAAATAAATTCTGGTGAAATTTGATTTGTTGATATATTACATACACTTTATATATCTAAAAAATCGAACATCTTGGTGAGTGCACACATCATGAACAATTTATATTTTTAGAGATGTCTCGAGCTGAAGATCGCCGTACCCCGTCCTTGAAAAACTGTCGTTTTTATACAGCATCTGATTGTGTTGTTTTGTCCACCATTTTTCAGGAAAAAACGTACATCCACCCCCTGCAAATCCGATCAACTGTATTAAAAATCTGATCAGCCTACTCAGTCATCGATGTCTTCCCCTCGCATAGTGGACAGATAAGGGGTGCTAGGAAAAATTCTTTTAATGATTGCAGTTATTAGCTCCATATTTTGTGTACTCACACCAAGCACTTCATACTGATTATCTGCGCTTAGTCAGCCTCTCTTACACAAAAGATTACTCAACAATCAAGGTTTTAACTTTCGAAAACTGTAAATTAGTTCAATAAAAAGTAGATGTTCCAGTAAAATGATTTTTAGTAAAAGTGAGACAGCAACTTTTTTCTTATAAACTTGCTACAGTTATTAACTGGATGTTATATAAAATTTCCATGGACTAATAACTCTTCGAGACTCTGAAACAGGTTATCATCAATAAATTATTTCCAATTTTTGAATCCATGTAGACAAAAAATAATAAGGATGCACATTAGTACCATTTTATAGTTTTCATTCGATATTCATCTTAACATGCAAATTACCAAAATGTAAAATCTCACGACTTTTAAGAAAAAGTTCATTGTTTGGTTATAGTGGCGCACACTTATACATATAGATGTCTAACATCTTTAGAAAAAATATGTTTTTTAGTAGTTTATCACTTGGAAAAATTTCCTTCATAGCAAATTATTAAAAAGTTAGTAATCAAGCGATGTATACAACTCAGAAGAACTACAATTTTGCATATAAAAGAGATAAATTAAAATATACTTGATAATCTAAAATTTTTAGAAAGCCTTATAATTTCTAATGAGGATTGATTCCACAGTTGTCTTTTTTTTCAATAATATACGTCATTTTGAAACTAGGTAAGTGTTTATATGGAAGATAGTTTTTTTTCTTTTTTATTTATTCAGCAGATAATATTTTGAAGATGTACAAATGAGAATGGAAAAAATTGTACGAATTCGAGTCGATTAATATTAAAGTAAATTCATCAAATTCAAATGTTCAGGTTTAATGCAAGTCTAGTTGTCACATGTAAATGAGCTTGCTTATGCTATGAAGTTTGTCACAGAAAAAACGAAATCCCATAAATACTTCTAGTCAGTTTATACTATTTTGCGAATTTGAACAATGTTTCTCTGCTTTGTTATAGAAAATATTTATTAATGTTATGCAAAATTTGAAATCGTTCTGTAATGTGTTCTGAAGTGTATTGAAATGAGTTTCCGAGTATTTCATATTTCTTCAAGTTCTGTTTAAAACCTAAATTTCGCAATATACATAGTATGTATTGCGATCTTTGTTATCTCTTACTACAAAAATTATTCACCTCCACTAACATTATCTATCTTAGATGAAACTTAGAAAGATTATACAACTCTGTGTATGTTTACTAACTAGAAAATTATAAAATTATAAAAATATAAAACAAGTCATTTTACACTCTCAGATACAAGTCTTTTCCCCTTTCATCTTTTTTATGCTGTCAGACTTTGCATCAAGTTTATTACTGAGTAAAGATATGACATAGGAGTTTTATTGCAATGTATTTTTTGCACCAAGATGAAATAAAACATTCATCTCATGTCTCTAGTCAGTAATAAATTCAATGCAACGTTTGATAACATAAAAAGATAAAGAGAGGAAAGATTTTTGTCCGGGGGTGCATGTTTTACAAGGAAACCTATGTATAATTTTTTCATAGATTTAATTCTTAAGAAAAGGTCAAAGAATCGATTTTAAAATGAAATGGTCAATATAACAATTTAAGTTGATGTACATTAGCCGTTTATTTATTTATTTAAAACTGAAGGGACTAGAAACATGAGTGTTCACTGTATAACAATTACCAACAAATTTCAATAGAAGGTCACATTTGAGACACTATATCTCAACAAGAGTTTAAACGCGCATCCACTGAAGATAGATGATGACATGCTCTACCAAATAACAAATTAAAACTTGAATTAAAGTTTGGGGAAAATAATTGCATTATTGATCAGTGGTTATTTTTGTTTCTATACTGAGTGTAAATTTTTGATCTTATTATAGCCTAAGGAACTTCAGGAAGTCCACATGGCCTGTAATATATAGTAAATACATAACATTGTATAAGTATATAATAACTAATGAATATAATTAGATCCTCAATTTAAAACATACATTTCACTTATATGGTCGTGTTATTGATATTCACGTATTTAATGTGTTTTGTCGTACCTACTACTTAACAGGCGCTCATTGTAAAGCAGCATCCAGAATGCACTTAAATGCAGCAATATGACAGCTTCAGTACTAGTTATAATATAGGTTCAAATTTCAAAAATCGATTTTATTGTCTGGCTGTCGACTGGGCCTCGTTCTCTCCTCCAATCATGACGGTCTTTGGACATCCCTGCATATTTTAACTCTTTGGTTACGAGACTCGTACTAATACGGGCTAAGCTTTGTTGCATTTTATAATTTACAAAATCTTTTCTTTTTCTTCGACCATAGAATATTCTCTCGTTCTCTTGTATTTTTAATATCACAGCATGATATCACTGTAAATGTATGTCAATTAGAAAAGAAATTATGGATTTAGACGTCTATGAAAAATCATAGACTCTATATACAAAGTCGTTCAAAGCGTGAAATTGAATAGAAAACTGTAAAGTTACGCATAATTCTACAACAATTATCGCTCTAGAAAGTTGCGATTACTGTCGCAGCCCTGATCTTACAACAGATCAGACATTCATTTTTATTAGATCCATATTATAATATAGAACAATAAGATTATTCATGAAGCCACACAAAGAATTTCACGAGGTTTTGGACAACTCTACAAGTACTGAATTTTATAGTGTTGGTTGAAGCCTAACACAGAATTTGTTGTTTTTCTTTTATGTATGTTATCTGATTCCTTGATTCTATCAACAAACCCCTATTTATTGTCATCATTGTGAAAACTCCGTAACCCAAGAATTAAATTTAATAGTTTGGCCCGAATATGTTCAATGCTTTTTTATTACAATATACGTCTTTTTTTTGTTTGATGAAGTTTTTTTGCAAAGAACCCTGGAAATTCTTCTGCCAATTTATTCACTTTCATATATCATGTCCATGATTTAGTCGTTTCTTTTCTTTCTATCCTCTATTACATGGTTGGTTACTATTCTGAGCTGTCGTTTTTTTTTCTTTGTTCTGCCACAACTTCAACGGAAAAAAGAAATTTTTTATTCTTTATTATAATTGTAAAAGGACCTTTTTGTTCGAAGAAGCAAAGACTGGAGGAGAAGAAAAAAGAAAATCGACTTTACCTCTACCGATTTTTTTTCTCTACTCATATTTGTTTTTTCTCGTATTTTATGAATAGTGCAGTGTAGGCCTATATTATTCGTCATTGCCGAAATACTTTTTTTCCTTTTACAACAATGTACTCTAGTTCAACTTTATGTCTGAAATTTTAAAAAAAGTCTGGTAATATTATTGAAAGCACTACTGTCATCATTAAAGAAATCATTGTAAATAAACTTTTATAGACACAAAACATTATTGATTAACGGTCTTAAACGAGCAACAACACATATATACAGACACAGCTGGTAAGAGAGCATAATCCATAGCATATGTTTCTGTTAAAGAGTGAAAACAATACTATTGTTTTAGTAAAGAACCAATTCTTTTTGAGTCTATATCAAAGTAGTATGGTTTTGTCAATTTGCTTTTTGTTCTTTGAATTATAAAAAAGAAATCAAGATTACAGTAATACACGCTCTATTGATTCCATAATATGAATGTTGCTCGATTTTTTATTCGTGTTTTGCTCCTTTTTTTCGTTCCTTCTTTTACCGACAGTAGAACAACTACCTGAGAAGGACGAATAATAAAACGACGGGTGTAAATCAAAGAAAAAAAACAAACTCAATGTAACGCGCTTATTCTCAATTGGTAAGAGCGAAACGAATGTACGTGTATCTTTCTGGTTTTTTCGTTCAGCATGACAGAGCAGTCTTCTATTTCATGCATTGCTTAAAACGACGCATAGCATAGACGTCCTTATTTTCTAACATGAATAAGTATAACAAGAAATTTTAAAGAATCATATCAGAAGGTTGTTCTCGTCTTTCTTGCGTGTTATTTACCGTGTGAGCATGCTTCTCTTTTTACTTCCGATCCTGTAAACAGTATGTATTGTTTCTAGAGAGAAAGTTTTTAAAATTGAAATAAAATCGAATACAAAAAACAAAAATGAAAATATTGAACGAATTTTATTTTATTTTAGAGTATGCTCTGGTTAATATATGGTACAGCGGGTTGGATTGGTGGACAATGTCGTGATTTACTTAATGTTGCTGGTCAAAAAGTAGTATCTGGTCGACGTGTAGCATCATTAAAAGATGTCGAAGAAGATATTATTACATATAAACCTGATCGTGTTATTTGTGCTATTGGCCGAACACATGGTGAAGGTATTCCAAATATTGATTATTTAGAAAAACCAGGCAAACTTAAAGATAATATGCGTGATAATCTATTAGCACCAATGTTTATTGCACAAGCAACAATGCAATATTCTAAATTAGCTGCTCCTATTCCAACACTTTATATTGGTACTGGTTGTATTTATGAATATGCGAATTCAAATGATTTAACTCATCCATATACAGAAAATGATCCACCAAATTTTTATGGTTCATCTTATTCAACTGTAAAAGGTGCAACTGATTTATTAATTGATGCTTATCCACATGTGATCAAGTAAAAGAAGTTTTTTTTTTTTATTTTCTATTTTTCTATTTGATTATTTTAGCGCTCGTATTCGAATGCCAATATCGGATGAATCTAACCCAAGAGATTTCATTACTAAAATTATTGCTTATAAAAAGATTACATCGTTACCAAATAGTATGACAGTTATGTCAGACGTATTACCAATACTTTTGGCACTTACACATGATGGTAAATTTGGTGGTCGAATAAATGCTTGCAATAAAGGATGGTTAGTATTTTTATTTATTAAAGTTCAATGTAAATGAAATTTCTATATTATTATAACGATTTTTTTTAAAGGGCTGATCATGATTGGATCCTTAAAACTTATCAAGAAAAAACAGGCGAAGTTTTAAATTATGAATTAGAACCAGTTGAAGAACAAAGTGCACGATTAGCTGCACGTCGTTCAAATAATGTTTTATCGACAGATAAACTTGACCAATGGTTGAAAATGTTATCACCAGATACACGTAAACTTTACTATACACCACATATTTTACCAGAATTAAAAAAAAGTATTGAAACAATATGTATACATCGTGCTAATATAAAAGCAAGTAATAATCAAGAGTTAACTGAAACACGACGATTACTTGTTACTGGTGGTTGCGGATTTATAGGAAGTAATTTTATTAATTATTGGCTTAAAACATATCCCGATGATACAGTTATTAATGTTGATAAACTTGATACATGTTCAAATATACGAAATGTTGAACAAGCTGATTCACCGAAATATAAATTGGTTGTTGCAAGTATTAATAATAAAGATTTAATGTTACATTTGATGAAACAATATGATATTACACATGTTGTTCATTTTGCTGGTAATATATATATATTTGATTTAATTGATTTCTATTTATTTTTTATTTTGAGTTATTTAGCACAAACACACGTTGATACATCGTTTGGTAATAGTATTCTTTTTACTGAATCAAATATATTTGGTACACATTGTTTACTTGAAGCAAGTCGAATTTATAATAAACTTCGAAAATTTATACATATTAGTACCGATGAAGTGTATGGAGAGTGGCCAGCAGGTAATAGAATAATGTTAAAAGTGACAATTTCTCAAGAAAAAAAAAATTATTTATTTATTTATTTATTTATTTAGGTAGTTGTCATGAAACAGCTGTTCTAAATCCAACAAATCCTTATGCAGCAACAAAAGCAGCAGCAGAATTTCTTGTTAAATCTTATGGTGAAAGTTTTAAATTACCATATGTTATAACACGTGGTAATAATGTTTATGGTCCATATCAATTTCCTGAAAAAGTTATTCCTCGTTTTATTACATCAATAATGAATAATGAAAAAATGACTATACAAGGTGACGGGAAACAAGTTCGAAATTTTATTTATGTAACAGATACAGTACGTGCTGTTGATCTTGTTATTCGTAAGGGTAAAATAAAAATGATTTATAATATTGGTTCAAAAGATGAAATTAAAGTTATGGAAATAGCTTCAATACTTCTTAAATTAATGACTCCAGAAGCTAAACTTGAAGATTCAATTGTTTATGTTAAAGATCGTTATTTTAATGATTGTCGATATTCTGTTATGACTGATGCACTTGAAAGTTTAGGTTGGAAACAAGAAGTTAAATTTGATGAGGGTATTCGTATGACTATTACATGGTATCAAGAACATCCTGATCATTGGCAGAACGATGGACCTTATAATTCACAATAATGCGTTCTTGTTTCTATCGATAGTCTTTTAACCAATCTTTTATTGATCCGAACAGACAAGAATGTTTATCGTTTTTCTTTTCAAAAATCAAATATGTTTCTTTTTGTGAGATAGATAACTTATGATTTCAATAGAGTATTTAAAGTTGTGCGCCATATGAAGATTCATCAATACAAAATAAAGTAAAGACCAATCATGTTATAAATGTAGCATACTTGAAAGACAGACATTGGTACTAAGAACTCTGTTTTAATGTCAATTAATTCTATTATTAATTCATTTTAATGAAGTTAATATATTTGTTGTTTGTGCTTTCACATAAATTTATTGATCAAAAAAACATATTGTAATATTAGAAATGTCGAGTTTGGCTAAATTTTATACACAGAGCTGATCAATTCTATGCATAATTAACGAGATCCCGAAAGATGTGCACGAAATAACAAAATCTAACTTTCATCTTCGATAAACGATTAAAAAAAGCAAAAGATAGAAGAAATAGTCATTTTTATTTATTTTCATAGTAGATATGTAAATAAATCACAAGAGGAGCAATTGATTTTGATTATCATATTAATAGATACGATGTTACAAGTATTCATATGCTTTATCAGGATATTCTAATCTAATGGTGGTCAACTATAACATATTCGATTAGATAACTATGATGAGCATTGTGATAAAATTAAATCACTTGACTCTTGTGTATTGTTTGCACGATCAATGAGATTGTCACGGAATTTTCTTACTGATATTTTCAGTAGATAACGAGTACAATTTGTTGTATGAACACCATGAGATTTAATAGTGTCCGCACGTGTAACGTTGGTAGTAAAATTACATGTAGGTATGCAATAATGACAATTAAATTTTTTATTATTTACACAAAGCCAGTGAGCTTTTTGGTCGGTTTAATGATCTCGTATGTACGAATAACCATCTAATATCAGTGCAGATTGATCTTTTGCGATAAAAGTGAATACGATTGAAGTACACATGTTTGAGTATTATTGAGAATAAGCTATTCTGATATCAAGTACTTACGTTCCTTTATTTGAAACATTACTATTCTCAAAACAAGCTTAGTCTAAGGAGATTAAAGTATTGAAAGAATCATATATATTCTAATTACAATTCATAATTTAGGAGGAAAGACAATCACACGACTAAGAGCAATCTATCTCAACACTGTTCTTATTAAGGCTGATTTGAACTAACCTGGATGAGATTTTGTTCTCCACTTTTGCAATCGTCTTTTTAAGTGAAAACTAGATTTCGTTATTTCATGCACATCTTTCGTATACCTGCAACTAATTTATTCCTTCTAAAATGTTTTGAGAAATTCTATTTTATTGCCTTTCATTTTCGAATAGAGATGTAATAGTTACATACAGTTATGTGTCCTGTCATTCCATCAATAGCTGTTAATTAATGTGTGTAAACAAACGTATTTATTCATTATTTATATCTTTTGCTAATAAACTAAAGAATGTCACATCTCTTTAGGCACCGTCCTCCTCTTCAAAACCCGATATTGCATCAAGTACATTCAGGTCGTATGAAAGTTTCAGAAGATGTTGACGACGTATGCGACAGTGTATGGTAAAATTTTCATCTTTCTAATAATGAGAGCCTATTTATATAAGTGTTTGTATAGACAATGAAAACAATACTTAATTAAAAAGAAGGAACCTTATAATGCCTTGCATCTCGTTATGCTCTGTCAAACAAAAAAGTACGGGAGCCCATAGAAAATTCTGAGTTGTACGATCAAAAAAGCATCAGCAGAGAAAAGTGAAAAAAAATTTTTTGAAATAAAAATTTTATAATATTTTTACATTTTTAGTCACTTTTTAATTAGATTTGAAGAGAGTAATTACCAACTGCCATATTTATTTTTGAACTGTGTATAAATAAACTTCACTAAATAAGAAGTTTTAATTTCTGCAACATGAACAGTAGACTTCCACTAGAATATTCTCCTAAAATCAACAGCAAGTTGTCTCAGACCTCATTTTGTTAAAAATTATATTCATTAGAAGTATTTTGCGTCGTTATGAAAAGAAAACAATAGCTATAATTTATAAGTACTCATCAGAGAGAAGGGGCAAGACTGGCGTTTTTTTCACGTATGTTCTTGTTACATCAAGATTTTTCTGGTTGTCTGTCAATCAGTTAATTTCTCATCATCGTCGGATGAGCTACAATTATTTACGAATCGTGATGATATTAATCAAAATGCTTTTTTTGTTCAATGGAAACAACTGAAAAATCAGTTTTTTTCTAAAACAAAATCCCACTTTTTTTTAAGCAGGAAATGACGAAAATTATTAAAAATTGTGTCGAACACCAATATGATAATTCTTAAAATCATATTGTCTCTGAAAGAACAGAACTCGGATTACCTTTCCACGCACTGATCTTAATTTTCATCTTTTTGACGAAAATTTAATTTATTTTAGGGGACGCAGAATGACTTTAAAGAAACTTCCAACAGGCACAAACAGCATCTTCTTTCACTTATAACTGTGTATAGTTCACTAATTTAGTAGTGAACATTTTCTGATAAGAGTGAGTAAATGAATATAGCTTGATCAAAGGAATTATTTAATCTAGTGTTAAACATTTTTACTAACTTATGCATCAAACTCATCAGGTCAACTTAAATCATGTTTTTCAAAACGGCGATAGATCACAAAAACACTATTCACCTACCAGAAAAATGACAACAGTAATAACAAACGACTAATTATCTATCGTCGAACCCGTTAGCATCAACACATGAGATCATGTTAACTTTAACTAATTTGATCGGTGATCTTTGGTGAATTATTGACTTTTTCCTTCTTTTTTCATATTTATTATTCTTTTCAATCTTTCTTGAAATAACCAATGCATACAAGAATTGTAAAATATGTAAAGAACGCCATTATCAAATACACAAAAAGAAGAGACAAAATTTATTCGTTAGTCAATTAATTTTCAATGGACACTAAAATACATAAAAGATTTCCTGGAACGAAGACATATAAAAAATGTTAATTAGCTTTCAAAACATAAAATTTTTTACACTCAATTTAGTAATACAGTGAATATCAAAAAGACTGATGTTACGTTACTAATAAATATATTTTCTCAAGAAAATTTTGCACACTGACTTCATTCTTAACTATGTTTTTTTCATTAGCATAACGACGGCTACATCTTTTCTTTTGTCGTACATGAACATATGATTTGTTTTTTTCCCTACTTTGGTTATTACAATTTTTATATTATACATATGTGTATTTTTTTCTTGATTTCTTACTTTCATGATCGAAATGCTTTCTTTTTAGTCTACGTGTCAGTACGAGTAGAAATCTTGCACGATCCATTTCAACCAAAAAGCTGAAGTATTAATGTTAACAGATGGCTATATGGTATCATTAACTGATTTGGCTATTATCATTTGATGATTTCGTTTCTCTCTCTCTCTCTCTCTCTCTCTCTCTTATTGTTTGCTATGCAATTATGTTCTCCTTCTATCTTTATGTCTTCGCCAGTTTCTTTAATTGTTTAGTTGTTGTCTATTATCTATACAATGAGAACATTTCATTCTCCAATATATTTCTACGACTGATTAAGTTAGATTAAGAAATTTTTCACGATTAGATTTTCTCTAGCCGTACACATATCAAAACTTGCACGTATAATTTTTGGCTTTGATAATAGACGTGGATAGAATTAATTGATAATAATCGACGGAAATCTTCATAGCGTCAGAAGAGAATTCTTTCATGCGTTATACTGCGATCAGAGAAGTACGTAGAAAACAGGAAATGGAACCTCAATCAACAGTTACTTGATGTTTATAAGTCAAACTCACAATTTATTCAATAAATTAAGATGATCATTATTCATTTTCTTTTTAAAATCAAAACTAAACGGTAAAGATTGCTTTTTTTTCTATTTATTTATCACTATTATAGTCATCAAGTCAGCTAATGATGAATACAAAATATGGTTCATTCTTGTACAACCACTTAACAATGACGTTTCTAGAGCAATAGATAAATTCAACAGCAAATTTTATAGGTTTTCTAACACAAGATGTATATTTCATCACTTAATCCACACTAACCTGAACATTGAAACACTACAGTTAAAATAATTGAAATAAGTTCGAGAATTATATCTATTGAATATATCTTTTGATGAATAAACATTGCCTGCAATGCTTCAAGTTCGATAGATATACAAGCAAAAGCCAACCATTTACAAAACCAAATCTTTTTTTTTATACAGAAAACAAACTAGCTGATATTTTTAATAATATTTTCGAAGATAATTCGATAAAGTTGATCTAATATCTTTGGGCGATGAATTTGTCAATGTACGACGAGATTGTACTGTTTGATAGAGCGTTGGCAAACGAAATGGTATATATCCTTCCTTATCTTTAATTGATTGTTGGGAAGGTGAACGAGATTGATTTACTGTCTCTAATTTATATAATAATCGTTCAATTTCATCATCGGATGGACTTGGTGGTGGAGCATAATGACGTTGAGCATTAACAACTGTATCATCGTCATTGACGATTGGTATTATTGTTTGAAGTTCTGTTTTCGTACCACGAGCGGTCAATTGAGTTAAATCAACTTGAGTTGCATTAGAAGAAGATGAATGATAGAGTGATTTACGATAGGAAGGACGTTTTTTCTTTCGTCGACGTTGATTTTCATCACGATGAATATCTTTTTCAATGACAGGTAAAAGAATTTCGTCTAAATGATGACGTCCACAATATGGTAACACTGATTTTCCAGTTGTTACCAAATGTTTACTAGTGTAAACATCGAACGAAAGATTTCTTAATTCAAGATCATGATCATCAACATTAGTTAATGAAGCATTAACAACAGGATTTCGTGTTGTCTGATCAAACGGTAAACGTTGACGATTTATTTTGTGAAAAGCATTTGATTGTTCTAATAATGTCATCGGCTCACGCATGGTTT